GTCGCCTCTTGTATTACATGGTGTTGTAAACGGGACTGCTGTGCCTAGGCCTGACCTGTAACCTAGCGAGGGGATGGGTTCTACCGTGTTGTTGCTGCTTTTTACTAGCTGCTTTAGCCACTACGCTGGCCATGACTACACTAGGCGAAGGTACTGCCGGCGGCCTGCCGGGAGCTTCCGGTGTCTCGTTGAACAGAGGTGCAGAGTGATTGTTGATCATAATCGGCGCTGACCTTCTCGAGAACTCGGGCGCGATCTTCGATTTTGCTGGCGGATGCACCTCCATGGCGTCCCAATCCTTATCTTTGTGCGCGCGCAACTGGACGTCCGAGCTCTTCCTGGATTCTGGCCTGGCAACCTCATACTTCCCCACCAATACTCTAACAGAGAGATCTTCCATATTATCCTGCGATGACGGTGGCGTTGTCTCGCTCCTCCTGCCATGCTTGTTGTCTTTGGTTTCGCCAACGCTGGACGACGATTGGATTTTGGACTCGTTGTGCGGGATCACTGGCGATGAGGGCAAACTCCTGATTTTTACGTCCCTTTTGGATCGTGCTGTCACCGACGCGTTTTCGCCTTCGCACGCGTTCTCGGGACTCCTCTCCAACTTGGTCGACTTCGCCTCAAACTCTTTCTTCAGATTTTTAACTATCCCAGACGTGCTACGTGGACACTCTTCCGGAGAATCATCCACGGAGAGACAACGCTTGCTGAACACAGACTTGTTACAGAGATTTTCCAAAACCATTTTATGGTGTTTTACAGAAGGGCACTGGGTAGTATTGACGACGCATGGACTGGATGTCTCGCTTTCTGATCTGCAAGATCTCAGAGATAAAGGCAGATCGGACTCGGAGGGTAGGGAGGACGGCGCGGGGGCGCTTGTAGATAGTCTTCCAATCTGACGCATGGACGTAAGAGAGATGTCAATGCTACCTACCGGGCTCGGTGAGTTTCTATTTGTTTCTACTTTAAGATTATGTTCCTGAGTAGGCGACGAGTCCCTTCTTCGCGGTGTCGGCGATGGCATGTGATGCAACAGCATCGGATTGTACGTCTCGACCGCAACAGAATCTATTTCAGTAGTTAGCCTATCGCTCTTTTCGTCCGTGGTCGTTGAGTTCTGGGTGCACACGCGCTTTACCTCGCCTGCGGTCGTACCCTCCTCCAATTTCTGCTTAGTGCGTTTTACCGTCCCCGGATGCCACGGGATTTCCTCTTTGTCATACGGGAACAGACCACTGGATCCGAGTAGATCGGATGGCCGCATGTCATAAGAGCCCCAGGAACTATTTCTCGACGGCAAGGTAGCCCACGAGCTGTGCACCGAATTGTTGTCAAGAACCACTGCGCTGTCGTAACTACTCCAAGAACTTTGCCGACTCGGAGATTCCCTTGTGACAGGTTCACCCCGTCTTTCCTCACGATCGAATACTCGATCGAGTTGGGCGCTGAATGGATCGCCGTCCTTTTTTATTTTCTTTCCTAAACCATCATGACACGTCGATAACGTCGTCGTCGTCGTCGTCGTAGTCATCGTCGTAGTCGTCGTCGTCATTGTGACCGACGTTGTAATTGTCGCATCCGCCATTACACTCACGTTACACTCACTTTCTACATTCACGCCTTTGTCAATTTTATTGTCATCACACATATCAGCACATGTTACATCCGCGGACGCAGTCCAGACTAGACATTCATTGTTATCGTTGATCTCAGTAGACTCCTGACTCATCTCTTTTCTCTTTTCCCTTTGTTCTTCACCGGGATCCCAAGTTTCCTTTTCGGAAAGACCGCTCGAAACGGAAGCCGTAATATCTTGTGTTTCCTGCGACTGCTCGCAATGCGAATGACCGTTCTCGATTGGTTTCGCGTTATCCTCCGCAATCGAACTTTGAGGCAGAGATTTCGCGTCCGTATCGGATCCTGGCGATGATGGTTTACTGCTAGCCGCTTCAAATTGATTAGTTAAATTGAGTACTAGACCCTTCCTCTTCTGTCCCTGAGTTTCTAACTTACTAATCCTATTCTTTACGCTAGGTGTGCCAGGGGTTGGAGCAGGTAGGTGCATTATTTTATTTTGCGACACGCTGTAAGATTGCCCGTTGTCGCAGGGCATTAGAACGTTTCGAGCTTCTTGTTCTATTGCTGGTTTTTGATTCGAGCCACGAAGAAGATCCTCTCGAGTAACTTCCGTATTTCCTGCTTTATCAATACTTTCCAATGACTGCGACAAGGGAACTGAAACATTATAAAACATAACGTAATAAAAATTTCTACATCCACAAAAATAAAATATATCTTGTAATTTTAATTGCCACATTTCTTATTTTAATTATTTATTAATATAAATTATTTGTCAAAATTTCTAATTTTCCAATATATACTGATCAGAAATAAATTTGATTAAAACTTTTTTAAATTTAAATAAAAAATAAGGTTTTATTTATTTATGTTTTCTATCATAATGATATCATGTTCAAGTTATAATACATGAACGTTCGAGCTGTAATACATAAACAGACCATAATAAAATTTTCAATAAAAAAATTAACTTTAAGTTTCTTAAAAATTTTGAGAAAGCACAATTAATTAGAACGTTAGGATAGTAAAGCTACATACCGGAAGGTAACATATTCTCAGCAACTTTAACATTCGGCGACCAACTCTTTGGTCTCTGGCTAGTTTTCTTCAACTCCGAACCTGAAACCTCTCGCATATTATTCTCTATATTATCTGATTTCTCTTCCTTTTTTGATTGATCTTTTGTGGAAGTGGGAGATTTCAGATTCGTGTCAGATTTGGATCTCTGGAGCTTCTCCTTATTTTTCATCGCATCTAGAATACCCTGATACGTTTCCAATTGCAGGAGGAAGCTGTTGTTAGGTTTGATGCAGTTGCGCTTTTCCTTAACGTGTTTCCACGCCTGGGAAAAATCCCAGTTGTAAGCCTTCATCGCATAAGCTATCACCACGGAGGCAGAACGGGACACTCCCATCTTGCAATGCACCAACACCTTAGAGCCTTCCATTTTGGCCTTAGTAATGTATTTGAATGTATTATCCCAGTGCTTCAACAAATCCGTCTTCTCATCGTCATATACACGTACGTTCAAATATGTGAACATACCAGGAAAAAAGTTGTCAATTTCCCGAGTGACATTCAGGATGTGCCTTACACTGAAAGTGTATAAAAAAGATTAGAACTAACAATTATATTTAAATATATTAAAATCAAATAGTGCGTTTTCTATACTGTAGATAAAATTTTCAAAATTATAATATGCTAGAGTTTAAAGTTTTTTTTTCTCATTAAATACGAAAGATATAAAAATTGTTCTTACAAATATTTATTAAAAATTTCTAAAAAAATTTTATATCTAATAATAACAGAAATAATTAAATTATAGATGATTAAAATATTAGAAATATATCACGTTGTGACACAATTAGAAATGACGAGCAATAAAATTGATATAACGTGACAATACGTAAAAAATATTCGTAATGAGACAGATAACGCACCCATTTTTCTGAAGTTCCTCTAGATTGCTAGCGTTCCATTCGCTCCCGAGATAAACATGATCGAATATCTCGGTTGGTGCATCCATTTGTCCTAGTATGGTAAGCATTTCTTGATCGATGAACGGTTTGAATTCCCCGAGATCCATGTCGAGATCCTCTTCAAGTCGACCTCTAATATATTTGGAAGTAACTTCATCAAGATCGACTGACATCATGATCTCCTTTAGCGTCGATCGAATCACGCGTTCGGTCTCTTCTCTCTCCCTGGGCCTATATTACATAAACATCCATGTTTGTATCTCATGATAGATTAATCAGACAGGCAAAATCAGTTAAATACATCCATAAATGATTGTCAATCACTAAACGATCGTTATATTATATTTGTGTTCATATCATTCATATCAAATATATAACATAGATACATATTTTTTAACTGTAGACATTATTCCATCAATTTATAATTACCGTATTTATAGATGTAATAAGAATTTTCATCTTTACAGAGCAAAAATACTAAAAGTGGCCTCGTAAACGCAAACAAAGAGATCAAATTAGAATGTTGTGAAGTTTTCGGATACATCAGTTTTCCACGTGTACGCCAGAATTTCGCAATACTGGAATCCAACGATCGAAATGACCTAATACCTCAAAATGTTTAGCTTAGTTTGAAAGGGAAGGCAGACGTAGAAACTGGAAATAATTGAAAGACGGCTATGAAATTATGCTTGGGCGCGCGATTCAATGCGGAGCAGACAACCGAGGAAGGCGCATCAACAAACCATCCTGGCACGATACCAAGCTAAATTCGCAGTAGCCAGCTGTTTCTTGGGTCTTATATGTTGCGCGAATCGATTTTGCTCGAGAGGCGTGTAATATATATTGAAGGTATTAAAAATTGAATATCTAAGAAATCACCCAGCAAGAGGGCAACTTCCTAGAAGAATTGGTTTCTAAAAGCAATCGATACTATGCCAATTTCATCAGAAAAGTGCTATAGGATTGCATCCGAATAACCGTCTTATTTTTTAGACCGCTTTTAAGGAGGATCGTCATAAAAATGACCGGACTCACTTGGTGCGTACGCTGTCCGGTGACGGTGGTCTCTTGGACTCCAGATTGTCCATGGCATGCCACTCGTTGAGGCACGAGCGATCGCTCTCGATCCGTTGCTCATAGTAACTGACCCAGTCATGCGACAGTCCACCTAGAAAATAGTTTTGCTCGCGTGCCTTACCGGATACCTTGTGCAATGTCTGCAAGGCCGACCTAGAAAAGAAAAAATACAAAAGATTAAAAGAGGATGTTACAGGAAGGATAATCAGAAGCACTGATTGTAAGAAAAGTAATATCATGTTGACTTGGCTAAATGCGCCATAAAAGAAATAATTTCGTACACATTTTAGTTCTAAAGAAAATTAGTTGGGAAAACTTTCATTGTAACTAATACTCGCGACATTTTTGTTGTTTATTCATTGTGACCTAGTTTTCTCTCAGAAAAATTACGTTTTTCTCTTTTTTATATGTGTTACGCTAGTTAAGTCACTACTACGGCAACTTCACAGTTACTTCGTGATACTTTGCAAGCGTATAAAAAAGTAAATTGATCAGCGGCGATCAGCATCTTCGGAAATCGACGAAAGTTACGATCTTCTGAAGGAACAAAGAAAGTAAGTATACTTTCTAAACGCCGGTTTAACAAGAAATATCTTTGTGTCTGGATTATGTCGAACAACGAGAGTCAATCTCTTGCTTCGCAGGTAAACCCTTCGGAATTACCATAACTAGTAAACTTTCTCATTCGCCCTGAAACTCATCCAACAATTAACGATGGTTCTCACGACGTAATGCTTGCTATGTGAGGCATCGAGTAAAAAAATATTAGCCAACGTTTAAGAATAGGGGCAATAATGTTTCGCTTTAAATTGCTTAAAACTATGAGAAACACGTCGTGAAAAACAAATGAACATCAATTAAGTTTTAATATAAATTTTCAATAAGATTGTTTTTTATTTAAAAAATAATATAAACCGATTTTTCTTAAAACATACAAAATTTTCTTAAAACATACAATAAAATCTCGTAATAGCAAACCTAGAAATAGCGCAAAAAATCCTTTCCATGAGTAGCATGAATGGGGAATAGGTAGTAGCCACTAAGATCTTGTATTTCATTGTTTTACAGTGAAGTAGAGGCAATCTCGTTGTAACATTCAGTCTGAACCGCACTAGTACGGTGAGAATTTTCTTTTAAAATTTACCCTGAAAATATGGTAGTTGTGATACAATACAATATTTTAAATATTTTTACCATGCATTTCAGTAAAATTAATCAAACTTATTTTATACTTTATTGGAGTTTTATTAATGAATAAAAGAGATTTACATTAAAATTCTTCGAAATACAATATTGTCTCAAGACTATCATATTTTCAGGATAAACTCTAAAAAAAAATTCTTTCCATGAAGGTTTCAAGTATATGCAATTTTTAATTTATTTGGATTTATTTACTGCAGAGTTTAATTACAACTTTTATTAAATGAGCAGTTCGCTCTGTCCCAATTACTACTGCTTTTTTCAATTGTAGTATTAGTATAAAAGTATGAAATAATTATATATTAAAAATATTATTAATGTTAAACTACGACTGTAATATAAATATAAACAATTATATAAGATATTCGATGTTTTATATTTGTAGAATAATTAAAGAAATTAGGAATATCGTTGAAGATAACAAACTCCATATTCTTCTAATTAGAAGTGAAGGAAAGAGAACTGCATGATTTGAAAGTGCAAGCAAATATAGCACGTATTTCAATGCTTATTTCAATAAAATAAGCATAAAAAAGTGATGGCTTTTTAAATTTAATTTATTGAAATAGCAACATCAAAGACAATCATTTAAGCCTGCATTACTATCGACAGTAAATGAGTCTTGTTATGCGTGAATATATGTACCAATGCGCTAATTACTATCAATTTTGACACCTGTGACTAAAAAAGTAGTAAATATTCTTAGTGTAAAACGATATGATAAATATTGTTATCAAGAATTAAATAATAATATTTTAAAAATATTTTTTTTCTCTCTTATTTGTGTATAATGATTAATATATATATTTTGTTTAGGATGCTGAAGAAGATTCGGACAAATTAATCTAATACAATGTACACGGGCAGTAAATACAGAGGCAGTAGGTATTAGATACATGCAGCAGTAATTAAGGGATCAGTATGAACAAAGACTGGCAGTAATATGTTCAATATCTTATATATGATTTTTTTCACTATATTTAAATAATTAGTTTCCGAGTTTGTTGCTTTTATTTTGCGTATATTAAAGTTTTTACTTGAATATAATTAAAAAATGATGTCTCTTATATATTAAAAATGTTTAAATAAGTATATCAATCGCACAACGATAAAGTACTAAGAGTTTTTTAATAAACTAAGAGATTTAAACAAAAAACATGAAAGTAAATTTCACAATTAACTCCTATTATTTTACGAAATAATATTATTTTATGATATAAATTAAACTTAAAATACAAAAGAAAATAATTAATAAACTAGTAATATAATTAATAAATCAAATATACTTTCGGATAAAATATTTCTAAATATAATGTTTAAAAGTAAGCTTTTTATTTTCTGTCCTTAATCTAACCGTATTTACTATCCGGTTTCCACTTCAATTGATAAATAGTAGACGCAGTCGATCGTTTCTTCATTCTAATAGGAAAAGGATTTCCCTAAATTAACATATTCTGTGTTTATCTAATATCTCTTATGTGTGAAGATCCATTCGTATATAAATATATTACATAAATCGAGAAACGCAATATTATAACTCATGTCGTTTGTACAATTTAAATTATCAATGGATTTTTGGATCAATGGATTCCCTAATCTTTTATTCATACTTTCTCAAATGTAATAAACTATGTAATAAATCAAATTTCTAAGAAGTTTCTTGCATGCTTTTTAAATTACAAACCTATTTTTAAAAAGAGAAAGAAAGAATAGAGATTTTAATCCATGATACCTGTTCCACGTTTTGCCTACACACCTACAATAATAATGTTACCAAAAAGAATATAATCACCCAGATAGACTTCCCTCCACAGATCTTATATCAGATTGCAAAGCTCATTCTTGAAGCATCAAAAGAAGATTTATTCGCCTACAAAATCATTCGTCCGAATCGCACATGAATAGTGCATTTAAAGTGCAATAACTTGTTTCTAAAGAGATATATCGTCTAGAATTCTAAATACTCTAATAAATTTTCAAAAATAACTAAAACTTCACACGATTATTTTTCAATATGCAAGTTTTGAAAAAATAACAAAGAATAGATCTTGGAAAATTACCGATTTTGATAGTGAGTGGTCTCAAGATATTTAAATATATTTGGAATAACAAAATTATAAAGTATTTGTGATCACAAGAATCACGATAGTCTTATTTCCCCTTATATATATATATATATATGCAAAGTTTCGTTCAGACAGTATACAACCTGTTCTTCTATAATAATCTCAAACCGGTTTTTCGCAACGTGTACGTTTCACATATACAGTGGAGACTCAGTTTCATGTTTTTCCGAAGATTAATCAACACAAACAACGAAATTGCAAAGACTCGTTGACCTATCTAATATCGTATCAATATACGAATAGTATAAATGTGTACGTATGTTAGTTATTGCACAAGAACTTTAATTACTCAAACAACTGAATCCATATTGCTTAATTCTATATCTCAAAAGAAGAAAAAATGCCAATCTAAATTGACGTAATACTTAAAATATTTCCTACATGTGCCTTTTAACTCATATTATTTGTTACGGAAAAAGTAATACAAACGCGCAATTTAATATATACTCAATAACAATAATATAAATGATACAAATTTAATAAAAGTATTAGTTATTATCTCAGGAGCGATATTATTTCATTATAAATTTCCATTTCATTATAAATTTCCATTTAAACTCTATTATAATAAAGATTTTTTCGTATTGCTATTTCTGCAAATCTGGAATAGGATTTTAATTTAAACAATTCTTTTTGTTTTATTTTTTTACAGGTACCATTCGAACAAAAATTATAATATAAGAATTAAAATATTATTAACATAAAGTATTACTCATATGATCAAACTTCGCTTCTCAATATCGTCAACAATTCTTCATTCTTGTTCTTCTGCTTTTTTCCTATTTATAGAATTCTTTTCACAAGATCACAAAAGCCATGGAATTTTCCTCTTTTCTTTTGGTTTGCTGTAATACGAGAAACCATCTGATAAATGTTTCTGACCACCCACAACCGTTTCGAAACCAAGAGAAACTTACGAATTTTTGGAACAGAATTTTAATTTTACATTCATATATTTTTTTTTAATGTAGTTTAATATAAAAAAATTAAAAAGTATTATTAAATATATATCCACCGCCTTTCGTCAAATTCTTCTACATTTAATACAATTTTTTATTCTTATTCTGTCGATTATTGCTCATTCATTTCATAGAAATCTCTTCGGGATCAAAATTAATAGAATTTTGTTTCTTCCGATTAGCTATAACACGCAAAAAAATCACCTGATAAATGTTTCTGACTACGCAATCATGTCGAAAAACCAAAAAACATGCAAGATTTGAAAAGAATTTTAATTTTAAAATTTTTAATACTTATAAGAAAAAAATGCTGAAGTATTGCCGAGATGAAATCTATCCTACCTTTCAATATCACCAATAGTTTTTCATTTTTATTCTGCTAATTATTGCTCACTCATTTCATAAGAATGCGTTCGAGATCAAAGTTGATAGAATTTTTCTCTTTTTTTTCCGTCTTGCTATAACACGAGAAACCATCTGACAAATGCTCCTGACGACGCGCGTCCTGAGAAACGAAGAAACCTCGAGCGTCGTTACCGTCGGCACTCAACCATGACAGCGCCGTCACATAAGAAGAAAGCGTGATCGAAGATATATCCCTCTTCACTGTAAAGAACGGTGTTCTCGACAGAATCATCGGAACGTAAGCTTACGGGATGTCGATTAGCTTGGCTTTACGCACTCGGAGGTCTTGGTGATCCTCGCGGCGTGTTCGATCTACTCTAGCAATTGCAGTGCCCGTCTTTTGTTACTTTCAAAGAACGGGTTGCGATAACAATCTCAACCGCACACGCGTTGGATGTGGTAGGTAACGAATACAGCATCTTGTTCTTTATAAAGATATAAAACAAATTGAGCTATAAATAAT